AAAATTCATTAATTAATAGAAAAATGTTCCATATCAAGATTTTTTACTAGCATTATTATACTACTATGGTTACTAGTAGTGGTGGCAAAATAAATAAAGAAAAATAGTTTTCCATTAAAAAATAGGCTGATTAATAAACTTTTTAAAAATGAGTCAAATATGAATAATAAGAATCATATTATTATCTACTTAGAAAATAGATAACTAATTAGCTTAACTTTTACATTTGTAAAGCCTCAAATTGGGGGTCACTCAAGTTTGAGAGACTAGGAATTCTCTTAAAAAGTGATAATATTCAAGAAGCCATGGATAATATGAATATTCATATTATCTACCGAATAACCTATTTTTTATCTGTATCAAATATGAATCAAGTCGGATAATTTATTTATTGTTATATTTAGCCATTTTAGACGCGTTCATATCCGATCCTGACTCGTCCATTTGCCACTCCTACTAATAATAAAACTGAAATATTAAAGGCAACGCGTATAAGTATAAAGGAATGGAATTAAGCAAAGTATGACACGCGAGAAGCTCTCACTGACTGCCACATTGACACTTGAACACTCGCCTTCAAGTGCTGGGTTCCATTTCTTTAAAGAGGAATTTACACAGAATACAATATTTTTAATATTTATTTAAATTTTTTATAATTACTTTCACAAAATTACATAAAATAAAATTTATTGCAATATTTTATATCCCTAGTATATCTCTTTTGAAATTCTCTCACCTAAAATGTACCCTAACATCTCTCTTAAAATTCTCCCTCGCCTAAAAGTATCTATCATATCATTTCCCCCAATTTCTCCACTAATATATTGTACACTGCATATTTTCTTATNATATACAGAATAATGAGTTGTATTTAATATACTATAAGTTTAAGAAAAGTTCAGTGTTATATGCTATAAGTAACATTAAGTTATTTTTTTTAAGTTTCAAAAAAATGAGGAGTATTATGTCAAAGAGTAAGAGAGTCATAACCGGACGCAAATTACTCTATGAATGACGTAGAGTTTAATGAAGAGAGTGTTGAGATACAAGCAAATGCAATTTACTTAGCTACTTGGGCTTCTTCTGTTCTTTCTCTTGTTATTAGGCCCAGATGCCCGCTATGTAATTATGTATTTGTCTTAGGCTGTATAATTAGTTGAGTGATGTGTATAAAATACTGGGCCGGCCCATCTATCTGGTAAGGGAGAACAATTAATATTTTGTACAAACTTCGTCGGGTTCTCTCAATAAAATACAATGAAAACCTAGAAGCTTCCGTTTTTCTCTCAATTGTCTTACAACAAAACATCAACAAGTTGTGGTTGAATCAAGGTTTAATATGGTATCAGAGCCCAGATCTGGATAGATCGGGTTATTACCTCTCGTTCGATGTTACCCTCACATTTTTTTATCGGAGTTTTTAGTTTTCACTATTCTTTCGTGTTTTGGGATTTTTTTTTCCGGTTAGATTTTTCGGAATTGACGATGAAATCAGGGATTTTCTACTATCACTTGAATGTTTCTAGTGATTTATCGAATCTATTTGGAGTTTTTGGAGTTTTCTGAGAAGTTTTCATCAACCTAGGGTTTGGTGGTTTTCTACGACTGTAAATTCAGCTAGGGCTCGTTTGTCTTCGTCACTGATTTTGTTCACAGGCCGTTATTCCTTCCTGTCGCGAAAGGAAGTTTGGTAACCCTAGTCATCTCTTCTCATTGTTTGATTGTGTGTGCATTTTTCTGATTAATTATGCACAAAAATGTTGAATGATGATGTTTCCTCATCTGCGTTACCAATTGTTCGTCATACTATCTCTCATTTTGTTTTTCATAAGGATGATTATACGCATCCATATTGTCACACCTCCTTTTTACGCGCCCGCCCCGAAGGGTAAATGCGCGAGAGAGTTTTTCCAATTTAAGTGACAATATTCGAAATGGGATTATTTATTTAATTCAGAGTCGCCACTTGGGAAAGGTTTGGCTTTTGGTGTCCCAAGTCACCGATTTTATCTTGAATCCCGAATCGAGGAAATTTTCGACTTTCCAAATGAAGTCTGCGAACCAAAAATTCTAAGTAAGGAATTTTGTTGACTTGAGGGAAGGTGTTAGGCACCCCGAATCCCGTGGTTCTAGCACGGTCGCTTAAATTGTTATAATGGCTAAATATCTTATTTTTAATACATGTCATGACTTGTGTGCTTTTATTAAGTTTAAACCACTTGTATTATCATTTGTCTTTTATGGAATTGCAACGTCATGAAAATGCATCTCGGACCACGTCGCAATCAATGCACCCATGGTTGTTAATACATTCGAACTCCGTTGAGATTTGGATTTGGGTCACATAAATGCGCGCCCGAATTTAAGAAGGTAATTTAATTAAATCGCGCCTAAAGAGTCTAACGCGTTATTATCTTTAGGGAAGGCAGTGAAATTCACTAGACAGTCCATCCCCAAAAAAACTAAATATTTATTACGACCAATTATTGAGGGCCCCGCAATTTGTATTTTTGTATTTGGCGAGGCTCGTCTCATTTTTATATTTTTTATTTTTTGAAAGGATAAACCTACAATGACTACATTTTTCTATTATGTTCGTCTCTATAATGAAAGAGGAAAATATACGCTAATTAAATTACATGCTTGGCCAGCTCCGGCCTCTTATTAATTATTAGATTACAAAGATGTTAATGGAAAATTGCACTCGAATTTGTAAGGCGGGGAATTACTTCGTACCTTATTCCATGAGCGAACCGCTAAAAATACGCATGCAAGATTGACAAAACTGCTAAGCTCACGCTAATCGTTCTTCAAGTTGAACTTAAACTTATATATTTTTGAGATTACTGGAATCAACTACTAAAAGACATTATTAACGGGATTAAAATATTGTCCTATAAACTGCCTAAGGAAATCTGGTTTGATAGAGTTGGCTCAAATGATTTAAAAAACAATGTTACATTTGACAAAATTAGAAGCAGTGCCTTATGTGTGTAAAATATGACTAGAGATGAAATTTGGCTATCGATACACTAACTACTTGTGCATCCCACAAATTACATAGCTATATCATACAGACCACTAAACAACTATAGATCCAATATTAAATAACTAAGTTTCAATTAAATACAAACTGTCTAATGCATTTTTAATTGAATTATAAACCAAAAAAAACTGCACAAATCTACTAACATTTCATAAATAAAAAAAACTACAAGTAACACCAAATGATTAAAAATCCTTCGCATCTTTCATTTCATGCTCAAACTTTACTGTTACATCAGTGTGAAATTCTAGTGTGTACCTGGATATTGGACACAAGAAGGAAAAGAGGTCAGCAGGAACAATAGTAGCATACGCACAGCAACAATGAGTTTGGCAACATAGCAAAACCAGCACAACCAGGAACGACAGCAGCAGGAATTTCAGGAACAAATTAAAACCAAGAAGAGAAAGCCAGTAGCTTAATAGAAAAGTGCTCGAAAAATCAACAGACCAACCAGGCTGCTAAATTAATCCCAGCACTACAAAAAAGATCACAGACCGAGGCAATAAAAGAGTAGTTTCTGATTTTTGAACATTTGAGCAGAAAACAAACTGAAACTTTTTGTTGTGAGACCTAGCCTTAGAATACTAAAATTCTGGAAAATTCTCTCAACTAACTAGCCTGTGTTTTGCTTTTAAGGCTCTTGGAACCTTTTTTCAAATTCCAGACTCTTTTTGTTCTCCAATCCCTTTTGGTTCTAACTATGCTCTTTCTTTCTTCTATCCTGATTTTTTTTTTGGGTTCTAACCTCTTCTTCTTTTCTGGTTTTTAACCTCTTGGTGTCTGACCCTTAATCCCCTGGAATCCTTCCCTTTTTATAGCCCAAACTGACTTCATTCCACAGCCTGTTAAAACCCATTAAAACTGACCCCCCCATGTTCTCTTTTCTGACTTTCCACTCACAATTTAAAAGAAAAGTATTCCCCATGAGATTCCCCTGACAGCCCTCATCTTCAATATTAAAAATGGTTTTCCTTTTATTAAACTAAATAAGTATGGGCAGCATGAATATGCCCTGACAGCACATGCTGTCAAGTTAATTTTAATCCTTTAAAGACTACAATGCACATGCTGTCCACAAAAGTAGATAAACAGGGACAACCATTCTATATCAATTTGAATTGAACTCTGAAATCTATATTAAACTGCAGCTATAGCCAATTCAAACACCTAAATTCCGGGTTGAAACTTCAAAACAAAATCAACACTGACAAACAAAGCTTAGCAGAAACATTGAAGCTGAATCTAAGAACTGAAAACAAAGTTCATCAATGCTCAAACAGAAAAAGAAATCAACAAACATTACCACTAATCAGAACACACACCAGGTCAAACTTCAAATCAACATTGGCACATTATGGGAATGATTAATTCATAATTCCAAATTGAGCTAATTAGAATGAAGTAAGTTCTGCGATAATACTGAACTTAACCAGGATTGATGAATATCAATGCCACATATCAAATATAGAAGACAAGTTTGAACCAATGTCATATCTTCTAGCATATAGAACTCAGATTCAACAAACAGTCTCACGAGAAGGAAAAAAAAAGTACTGAACACATGACAAAAATAAATCAAAATAAAGATACAATTCAAAACAGACCAAACAAAACTAAGAAGGAAACAAAGGAAACTAAGGAGGAACTTACTTGTTCTTTGCTCAGATTTTAACAATATGTTCTTTCAGATTTGAGTCCTAGTCATTATTATATGTCTATTTCGTGAGAAATAGGCCTACAATACTGAATAGAAGCCAACCGATCTTGAAGCTTTGACGTGCCTCGAAACGCTGAAACCCTAGATCCGTCAGTCGACGGGTTTTGCTCATGTTCGAGCCAATCTGGTTAGGGATTAAGGGTGAGGAAGTAAAGGGGATTATTGGGTGTTAGTCTGGGGTTGGTTAGTACAAGTTGAGGTTTGGCTCGAATCTTCAAATGAAGATTCGAGACGATGGAGGAAGGTTTGAGACCAACGTTTTGCAGATCCGTGTCCAGGGGGTCAAGGTGCACTAGGGGTGTTAATCTGGTGGTCACCGACACTGTTGCCGTCGGGTTTATGGTGAGGGAACGGAAGGGTGGCGCTAGGGTTCTTGAGGGTGTTTGGTAAAGAGACGATGATGGAGAAGGGGGGTCTGGCTTAGGGGGGCGTGGGGTAAGGGATTAGGGTTATATAGTTAGGGGAAAATTTGATCTAGGCCGTTAGATAATTCAAAATCAATGGCCTGGATCGATCAACTTAATGGAAACGACGCCGTATGGGTTAAGTGAGACCGGTGGGTCTCTGGGTGAGACGGGTCGGGTTAAAGCGTGGGTATGGAGATGTGATCTTGGTCGTTGATCAATCTGAGATCAACGGTCCAGATCAAGCATGATCAAAACGACGCCGTTTGGACGTTCTCTGAGGTTGGCTGATTTAGACCGGGCAAAACAGTGCTTTGGGCCTGATTTTAGGTCCAATTCAAATGGCCCAAATCCGATTTTGTCCAATTTAAACTCATTTCTTTTCTTTTCCTATTTCTAATTAACATCCGAATTTACAAAAATCCTAAAATAAATTATAAAAAATATAAAAAATTAAAATTATATCACAAGACATTAATTGATTTTTTAATAATAATTAACACACAATATCATATATTAATTAAACAAAAATCAACCTTTAAACGATAGAATGACAAAATTACCAAAGATAATATTTTTGTAATTTTTTATTCATTCAAAACCAAATACGATTTAATTAATTCCTAATAGTAGAACAAGATCCTAAATTTCCACGCGACATATATTTTTTGTATTTTTAATTGATAAAACTAAACAATCACAGACAAAAACTACAAATAACTACCAAAAAATGCCACGCAAATTCTAAAAATTGTACAACAAGACAATTTGTTTTATTTTTCGATTTCTTTTGGAGTAGTTGTCGTGTAAACAAAAATCACGTGCTCACATATGTTGTCTCTTTTATGTGCATCCATATGATATTTTAGGGTCTTCATTAGTTTTTGTACCTTGGAGTTGGAGACAAACCATCCTTGTGGCTTTGTCTGTTAGAAATAAGCTGGATTTCATTATTGGATCCTCAGTCAAGCCTCCTGACAGTTCTCCCTTGGCGAGACAATGGCAGAGGTGTATTGATTTGGTCGTCTCTTGGTTAACCAACTCCTTGTCCAAAGACATTGCCCATAGTGTTGAGTACTCTGAACTTGCCAAAGATATTTGGAGTGAGTTGGAGGAAAGATATAGTCAAGCAGATGCTGCAAAGATATTTGAGCTTAAGAAAGAGTTAACTCACATCTCACAAGGGTTACTTGATATTGCCTCATATTTCAACAAAATCAAGCAATTGTGGAATGAAATTGATGCCTTGTCAATCAGTAGAGTCAGGTTTTGTAGCAACTGTGATTTCAAATCTAACTATCAGAAAGATGATGATGTTCGAAAGGCGTATCAATTTTTGATGGGTTTCAATAATGTATATGTGCAAACTAGAAGTAATATATTCATGATTAAACCATTTTCATCTGTGAGCACTGTATACAATATACTGTTGTCAGATGAGAAGCAGAGGCATGTCTCTACCTCTTCTCAGTTTCTCCTACATCTGCCTCTTTCAATGCTGGGTGTCTAAACAAGAGTTCCCTTCCAAAGTTAATTTTGATGCTCAAAGACCTCTTACATTCAAATATTGTAAGAAATCAGATCACACTATTGACAAATGCTATAAATTATATGGGTATGCTCCAAACTTCATGTTCACAGAAGGTCCTAGCAGTAGGAAAACTGCAGCTCATGTTTAAGTGAACTTTCCTGGTCCTCCTGCTACGGTGGATTCTAATATGAGTCTTGATTCAGTCAGTTCCTCTGAGTCCGGTGATGGTTCAATGGTACCTGGTTTGACACAAGATTAATTCTCCCAGCTGATGATGTTACTATAATAGTCCCATGTGTCTGCTGGTTCCTCCTCTACTCTCACTCTAATGGCTTTTGCTAACTTTGCTGGTAAGTTGTTATCAGAAAATATTCTACTAAAGTCATGCATGCTTTCACAAGTAGATAGTTTTATTTGGATCATAGACTCTGGAGCTTCTGATCACATGACCTCTCATGAGGATTTACTTTTTACTCTGCAAACACTACATGTACCCTGTCTAGTTTCTCTGCCAAATAGGTACAAAGTCAAAGTTCATTTAGTTGGATCTTTGACTTTGTTTACGAATTTCAAAATTATCATGTTCTTTATGTTCCCTCTTTTCAATACAATCTTATTTTTGTTCATGAGCTGTTAGAAAAATACAATGTGATTGTCGTGTTTATCATAACTCTTTGTGCTATACATGCCCCTTCTGTGAAGATGCCTCTGGTTCATGATAAACTGAACCACAATCTCTACAAGCTTTTACTTTCTCCTGTTGCTTCTCCCAGTACCACATCCTGTTACTCTTCTAGTGTTACTTCTCCTCTTATTTCCCCTATTATTTCTTCTATCTTTGTTTTTCCTGAGATGCAAGCAAATGTAAAGAAAGCACTTGTAAAGAATATTAATGTTATTGATGCTGGTGAAACACATGTAAATACTGATGCAACCCTAAATAATATCAATAAAATGGATGTGGTTTGGCATTATAGGCTTGGGCATATTCCTTTTTCCAGAATAAAACACATCTCTATACTTGGGTCACATTTATCTTCCAAACAGTCTTTTTCCTGCCCAATATGTCCATTAGCCAGACAAACAAGATTGTCATTTCCTGACAGTAGTATACAAACCACAAAACTTTTTCAGTGGATTCACATTGTCACCAGGGGTCCATATACTCTCATACCTATACTGGCTCCAAATATTTTATGACCATTGTTGATGATTTTTTAAGAGCCACTTGGACCCACCTAATGGGAGCCAAAACTAATGCTTTTGAGCTCTTAAAAGCTTTCATTGTTATGACTGAGTTTCAATTGAAAGTCCAAAATATGAAAAGTGACAATGCCTTAGAGTTAGGATCCAGCACTGTTGGATTAAAGTTTTTCTCTTAGAAAGAGATATTTCATCAGACAACATGCTCTAATACTGCACAACAAAATGGAGTCGTGGAAAGAAAGCACATACATCTTTTGTTGGGGGGTTATCTCACCCTCCAACTTGCCGGGGGGTGTTGAGATACAAGCAAATGCAAATGTTGTTACTCAGCTACTTGGACTTCTTCTCTTCTTTCTCTTGTTATTAGGCCCAGAAGCCCACTATGTAACTATGTATTTATCTTAGGCTGACTAATTAGTTCAGTGATGTATATAAAATACTGGGTCGACCCATATATCGGGTAAGGAAGAACAATTAACATTTTGTACAGACTTCGCCGGGTTTTCTCAACTGAACACAATGAAAACCTAGAAGCTTCCATTGCAAGTTGTGGTTGAATCAAGTTTTAACAGAGAGAGAATAAATATATTACAAGTTCTAGTAAGATTACCGCTACTGCTTTGGATGGAAGTTATCGATATACGTTAATTTTGGTTATGCTCAATTATATATATTATTCTCCCTAACTTTTCAGCTTTTCATTATATAAGTAATTTGACGTATAACTTGTTTAGTTGTACATTATGTAATATCTAATTTGATTGTAATATATATTATTAACTTTTGTAGATATTGTGTTTATGTATTTTTTTTGCTGATGATGCAACCGAAACAGTGTGTTACATGGCTGTTTGGACGTGCATAATATTTGCGAATCAATTTTCGGTTCACAAATTAGAATGGATTTATAACTTCAACTTAAAATATGCTGCTATCTGCAAATGAAATCATTTAAGTAGTATTATACAAAAGATACTGATTTTCTCTCATAAATTCCATTTTTTTTCTAAATAAAGTTCACGTCTAAATACTCTTGTAACTACTTCAATTTCAAATATATTTCATTTCAACTTCAACTGCATATATTAAAAAGTTATGGTACGTAATGTGAAAACAATTGTTACCTATAATTAAAGTGTCTGATAGAAATAAGCCTCAAATGAAATATCAAAGTGAAAATTATTGTGAAGTTTTAGAATTGTCAGTGAATTCCGCCAAAAAGTAAGTTATATTCCTCATAAAATATGAAGTAAGTTACACCATTAGGTAATATAAAAACCATCGGTAGTAATTAGCAACCCTAAGTATGTGTACATTTACAACTATGAATCTTAAACATAAAAAGTGACGGTTACTAATATAAAGTTTGAAATGGTCAAATTAATGGAGCATTAATTTTTGTTCTTTGTCATATGGAGTAGTGGAGTTATATTTTACACCAATAAAACGTGTAAGAAAAAAGAGGTAAAGAGTAGGAATGTTCAAACCGAATCGTAAAACCGCGCCAAATCGAAAAGTCAAATCAAATCCATTAAAAAATCTAACTAGATTTGATTTGGTATTGAATAAAAAAATATGAACCAAACCGACAAATAAATATAATAATTTATATATCTTTAATAGAATTTGCTTTAAAAAATGTCTAGAGATATGTAATATTTAATAGAACTATGAAGTACTTTTATTTTTATTTTCTTTAAATAATAGTGTATCACTTTCTTATCAACTGTTATTGAAATGTATTAATCATCTATTTGTTCTTCTATATTCATAGCATTAATTTTTTTCTTTGTCATATGAAGTAGTGGAGTAATATTTTACACCAATAAAATGTGTAAGAAAAAAGAGGTAAAAGAGTAGGGATGTTTAAACCGAATCGTAAAATCACACCAAATTAAAAAGTCAAATCAAGTCCATTAAAAAATTTAATTAGATTTGATTTAGTATTGAGTAAAAAAATCTGAACCAGACAGACAAAAAAATATATAATTTATATATACATTTTAAGACTTTAATAAAATTTGCTTTAAAAAATATCTACAGATATGTAATATTTAATAGAACTATGAAGTGCTTTTGTTTTTTTATTTTCTTTAAATAATGGATTGTATCACTTTCTTATCAACTCTTATTGAAATGCATTAATCATCTATTTGTTCTTCTATATTCATATGTCAAGATTTCTTATATCTTTTTCGAATTTTAAATGGTATTTCGATAATTTAAAATTGAATAGAACATATCATTGTTTAGGTATCATACAAATTTTTATGTTTATTATGAAATTCGGTTGACCTTGAATGGGCATACCAACAAAAAAATTATTATTAGACAACTAAAAAAATAACTATTATATGTTTACTGAAAAATTCCGCTATCAGAATATTTTAATAGATTCTATGTTTGTCAATTTTTAATTTTTACTAATAGATATTCATATTTCAAAACGATAAACTTTAACAAAGTAAGATTGAAATAATGTCCAAAAACCAAACCTAAGATAAAAATTGAATGAAACCATAATTAAACAAGTGATTAGCGAGTTGACACGGACTAAAAACACCCGCCGAAAAGAAAGCTGCCAAAAGTTCCATGGCAGCAGCAGCCGCCCGTTCCCTCTCCATATTCAAAAGGGCAGCTCAATTTCTCCGCCACCAGCACTTCTCGTCGTCGTCGGCGGCGAATCACGGGCCGTGGGATTTCTATTACGATGACAGTGAAGGCGAGGAAAGTGCCGTGTATCAGCACGCCCTCAAATTCCAACGGCCGTCAACCATAAAACAAAACCAAGTTCTACACAACTCCGTCAGTCTCATAGGAAAAATTGATTCTCCGTTCAGAAGAATTAACACCACTAACGGCGCTTTTGGCCTTCATACTTTCCTCAATGTCTCCGCTTCTTCTCAGTCCCGTCCCTTTTTTAAGTAAGACTTCAAATTTATTGCTAATTTGCAAATTTCCGTATTGATATTTCATTTTAATAAATAAAGTTTTGTTTGTGTGCAGAGTTATGCTGAAGATGTGGGATGAAATGGCGGAAGTGTCAATGGAGCATTTGAAACCGAAGGATTTGGTCTATGTTTGGGGTCATTTGAGATCATACAATAAGACTGACCAGAATGGTAAACACATGATGAGATACGAGGTTTGTAACCCACAAAAAACACTTGTATTTTTTATGTCTATTATATGTACAGTTATTTGTATATAAAGGGATTTGCCAAGAATTAGGTAAATTTTTCAGCTTGATAGTTTTGCACTTCCCCGCTTTAGTTTGTTTAGAATGTTATTGTTGTTACCCAATTAACATTTACAACAACTATGCCTCAGTCCCAAACAAGTTGGAGTCGGCTATATGAATACTTTGTCCATTTTAAATGCAACTTATGTTATCATCATACCAAATAAAAATAAAAATAAAATAAAAGTAAAAGTAACACTATAGTTCCTCGTATATATACAAAATTGTCTAGTATTTGTTAGTAACTTAACTATGGTGCAATTGCATGATCTCAAACTATTAGGCATCGACCTCCAGATTCCGTACCCTGGCCATCCAAATTCCTTGCATCTATTAGAGACTTTGGCATGTTGGTTATCCACCAAGTTTGTTAGTGTCTTTTGGGCATTTCCATTAAGTTATGATCCAGGACTATGACAACTTTCAGCTATTTTGCACAAAAGCTTCACTGAGTTTTATCTGTCCAATTGCAATAAGGGGGATTATAGGGAGTACTTGGATACAAAGTTGCAAGCACCTGGTTTCATTTGTGTAAAAACTCATTGATCTTTGTGCTTGGGACACCATGGATTACACATGAGCGCATATAGTCTGTTTCCTCTTCATAAGATTATCATTATTTGCCTTATGGCTTACTAGTGGTTTAGACTTCTATAGGAATTCATCTTCAAACGGACTTATCTTTCACCTCGAGCTATTTTGCTATTTTATCTGTTTTGCGACATTCTATGACAATGAGGGTTACGGTATGGATGTGGAATAGCCAAGTCATTAAGAGAATTCCAGTTGTCTTCACGTTACGTGACATTTTATTCTCTTTGACATAGCGCAAAATGTAGCTTTTGGAGAGGTGATTAATTAGATTTGCATCGGCCATTTTATGTTTAGCATTCCTGTATGAGCTTCCTTTTATTTTTCTAGGTGAGGGTGAAGTTCAGATATCAGGTTATTAGATGACCAAATTAATATGCATCAGATGTGTCTTTGTAAATTTGAGATCATGTGCTGAGCAAAAGGCTCTCTCGTTTTCTTTTTCCATATTTTTTATGTAGCTTGTGCTGCACAAGAATGCTTTCTTTCTTATTTTCATGTACTGATTCTTTTGTGAAGGTAGTTGTCAAGGAAATAAATTTTGCGACTCCAGATGTTCAAGTCTCAGCAACCCCAGAATTTGAGAAGAAAGAATCAGGAGGTATTGACTTTCTGACCATTTCTTATAGATTGATAATGTTCGTAGATTGTAAGCAATTTATAGACATTTTCTTTTTCTCAAAAGAATTTATAGACATTTTCTATACTGGAAGGGCCTGAATAGAGCGGAATGGAATATAGAGGATTTATATGACCAACCCTAAATAACTAGTAAGCTAGTAGTATGGCATTGAGGATAGTTGATTGATTGTATACGTGACATTTCTGGAAAACTGAAACATAGCTGATTGCAGGAGGATAACTTGTAAATTTTTAGAATGGAATTTTAGAAATTATAAAAAATCAATTACTAGTTTTTGACACATTCATTATAGCGTTATTTAAAAAATCTAAGAATGCTAATACTTAGTTTAGGAAAGTGCACTTATTGTAAGATATCCTCTGAAGCTTCCGCCTTTCAATTCTTCGAGGTAGAATGGAGTGGGTGAGAATTTCTATCTTGATAAAAGAAAGAAAGGACAACTAAAGAGACTTCAAAATATGCTTCACATAAACCGGGTTTAGGTTATCCTCTTTTTATATTTCTCTTTCTTCCAGTGTCCATTCCATGTAGTTAATTATTGGAACAATGGGACATTGAGAGATGAACCGAATTATGAACTGGCTTGGATATTCCTGCTAACATTGCTGCTTTCAATGTTGCATAAATACATCTGACGCTGAATGCTTGATTCTGCTCTCTGTCTTTGGAGTTCAATCAAGACTTTAATCTAGAGCAACACACAGGCACAGACTTGGATGTGCCAGAGCATTTATATTAGCTCCAAGTCAGACAGCTTGGTGGACCGGTAATCCAATTGAAAAATCCAATTAATCAAACCTTAGCATGATTGATGGTGCCCAGTCTGGGCATGTTGGGTATTGAAATTTGTTGATCCTACATATCCATGCTTCTTTGAACTCGTTAACTTATTTCTAGGTCCATTCACTTGCGTTTTCAGATGAAGATGAATTGGAGAAGTATAGGAACCGGATCCATTTGTGGCAAATTTTCTTCGCTAGCCCTTATGAATGGATGGACTTCAGGAAGAGTAAAGTCAATCCTAAATACCCAGACTTTAAGCACAGAGATACTGGTGAAGTTCTCTGGCTCAGGACGGATGATCCACCGTGGATAAAAAGACAGTTGGACATTCTAGATTCTAGATTAGTTTACCAAGGTTTCTAAGAACAATTAAGCTCCATATAAGACGTCTTTCTGAACGGACGCATGCAGAACAGTGCTGGAACCTGGTACAAGAGCCGAAGTGCTTGCGAAGCATAGAAGACTACAAACACTGTTCAGGTTTGCTACAAACATAAACGTGCTGTTAGATATGTGCATATTTCTTATAATACAACTTGCTTTGGTAAATATAATAGGATCCCCACTATTGATGAGAAGAAAGCCACCCCGTGTTTAGGCTACAAGTTATGACTACACTTGGCAGTTGACCAATTGAACTAGTTGTTTAGTGCTGGATGCTGTTGAAATTTTGTTTCTTGAAAAGTATGTCTTGTACATAATTTTCTTGTAAGATCAACACTTGTATTACAAAATATCATGGCTGCCCTCCCATTTACCAACATATGCCTGGTTCATTATCATGATACTGTGCTCGGCAAATTGGACATGTGCTGCCCGTCGATCTTGTTGTTTGTCTGTGTGCAGTCAGGAACTAGTTCATAATTTTTTTGTCATTTAAAGCACAACTTCCTCTTGTTGGAACCTTCTAGATTGATCAGCTTGTGCTGTGATATCTTATTATTATACTCATCTACAGAATTAAAAAGTTTTATGCTCTTTATTTCTTTTCATATTTCCTGCTGCAGTAGGGCGTGGTACGGCATATACGAGGAAGCTTCTGATGATTCCTGTAAGCATAAACTTTAATTCACACCAGGATCTTGAACATGATAATCTTATGCAAAATCGTTACAGAAAACATACTTGATGCGGAATCCATTATCTTGAAGCGGAAGCGTTAATCGGTAATTGGTTTCTCGCCCCTTACCCTAACTTTACGTTACTGCCGACTTTAGTGATGGAAGAGAATAAAAATACGGTATCCCTAATGGGTGGGGAGAGGACCAATTTTTAGAGGTTCTCACTTAATCTGGTACGTCCATCAAGTAACCAATCGGACGGATGAGATTTGATAATTAATTAAATATTAATTATGGGCCTTAACCTATTGGGTCACATACATGTAGAAAAATAACTTACATTCTCCCACTTGGCCCAATAATCACATAATATTAATATTTAATATATGAACATTAGTTGCGCATAAACAAATCTCTTCTATAATGTCCATCATAAATACCATAATACGATAAACTACTAAATGTGAGTTATGGTGGTTATATATAATTTGTCTACATACTCCCTTCTATATACTACAACATTAGCAACTCATTGTACCAGGTCCATAAGCTATAAAATATTATGGTCCACAATAATGTCTCATTGAGACTTATCCAGTAATATCTCAAAACAATAATGTGTACACCATTATGAGAAACAAGAAATTATTAATGTATATCAGAAACATATAAATGAGCTCAGAGTGTCAAAACATCATAAATACATCAATCATTAATACAACCAATACCCATTCTATGTACATGTTCCTTAAATATCTTTGGCTGTAAACCTTTCGTTAACGGATCTGCAATCATGAGATCTGTTCTAATATGCTCAAGTGACACTCTTTGTTTCTGAACTTCTTCCTTGACAGTAAAGTACTTTAATTCCATATGCTTGGCACCTTTGGAGTACTTATCGTTCTTGGAGAAGAATACTGTTGCAGAATTATCACAGTAAATTTTCAGCGGCTTGGTAATGGTGTCGACAACTCTAAGTCTTGAAATAAAGTTTCGCAACCATAATGCATGAATTGTGGCTTCAAAACATGCCACAAATTCTGCTTCCATTGTGGATGTAGCAATGATAGACTGTTTGGCACTCTTCCACGATATTGCTCCTTCAGCTAATTGGAACACATAACCAAACGTGGATTTCTAGTGTCAATACATCCAACGAAATCTGAATCCGAGTATCCAACAACTTCCAAATGCTTGGATCTCCTATACATGAGCATGTAATCATTCGTTCCTTTCAGGTACCTCAAAACTTTCTTTGCAGCTTTCCAGTTATCAATTCCTGGGTTACTCTGATATCTTCCTAGTATTCCGACCGCAAAACTAATATCCGGTCTTGTGCAAGTCTGAGCATACATCAGACTACCAACAATTGAAGAGTAAGGAATTGATTCCATTTCCTTTCGTTCTATATCATTTTTAGGGCATTGCATGAGACTAAATTTGTCCCCTTTTTGAATTGGAACAATTCCTGCTGAATAATTGTTCATATTAAATCTCTCTAGAATTCTTTCGATATAGCCTTTCTAAGACAATCCCAATAATCCTTGTAATCTATCACGAAATATTTCTATTCCTATCACATAGGAGGCCTCACCCATATCTTGCATTTCAAAATTCTTAGAGAGAAAATCTTTAGTCTCACGCAATATGCCTAAATCATTAGCAGCAAGTAGAATATCATCAACATATAGGACTAGAAATATAAACTTGCTCCCACTGATCTTTTGGTATATACACCGATCAACTGTATTTTTCACAAATCCAAAAGATGTTATGGTATCATTAAACTTTATATACCATTATCGTGAAGCTTGTTTAAGTCCATATATTGACTTCTTTAGTTTACACACCATTTGACCTTTTCCTTTAGTTTCGAAACTCTCTGGTTGGTCCATTTAAACTTCCTCCTCGAGATCTCCGTTAAGAAAGGCGGTTTTCATATCCATTTGGTGTAATGAGCCACCAAAGCCATAATAATTCTTAACGAGTCTTTCTTTGAGACCGGCGAAAATGTCTTTTTATAATCAGTGTCTCCTTTATGAGTATAACCCTTGACAACAAGTCTGGCTTTGTATCGTTCAATATTGCCATTTAAATCGCGTTTGGTCTTAAAGACCCATCTACACCCGATTCTTTTAGAACTTTCTAGCAATTCAACAAGATCCCAGACTTTATTGTATTCCATGGATTTTAACTCTTCCTTCATGGCATCAATCCATTTTTCAGACTCAGTACTTTCTTTGGCTTGTGAAAATGAAACCGGATCCTTATTAAGACCAATGTCAAAATCTGACTCTTGCAAATAAACCACGTAATCATCCAGAATAGCCGATTTTCTAACGCTTTGAGATTTTCTTAATGGCATTTCTTGTGGTTCACTTGTATCAGATATTTGGGGTGTTAGTTTCTTCATGAAGTGTTTCATCCAAATGTTGCTCGGTGTTGTCTAAGTATTCTTCAACAACTGGAATAATATTTGGTATTTGTGTGGAAGTAGGCACATTCGTGGGTAATAGAATATTGGCCCTCACCTCTTTTATTTTCACACTTTGCTTTTCAACACTTCTACTAACCTCACCATTCATGAAGCAACAAATGCTCTCAAGGTGTTTGTTGCTTGAGATTTTTCTTTCAGCAAATAGATGTATCCATAACGTGAAAAACTATTGATAAAAGTGATAAATATTTCTCTCCACCAAAAGATGGAACATCAAAGGGTCCACAAATATCGGTGTGTATAATTTCAAGAAGCTGGGAGCTTCTTATGGCACCTTTTTTACTATGCTTGATTTGCTTTCCCTTAATGCAATCCAAACATATAGTAAGATCAGTAAAATTTAGATTCGGAAGAACCTCATTCTTTACTAATCTTTCTAACATTTCTTTGGATATATGACCCAAACGTCTATGCCACAAGTAAGTAGAACTTTCATCTAGTGAACTACATTTAATTCCAACATTATGTTGAACAGTAAGAAGGGATTCAGAAAAATCAATGTCGAGTTTCAATTTATATAAACCATCACTAAGAAAATCAGAACCATAAAAAATAGCATTCTTATATAAATTGAAACATCCATTTCCAAACTTTAAATCAAATCCAGAAACATCAAGTCTTGAAAGAGAAATCAAATTCCTAGAAACTGAAGGTACATAAAGAGTCTGTAATAGATCAAGGTGACGTCCAGTCTCCATGATCAAACGATAAGTCCCTATGCCTTCAATTGGAGCCTTCATACGATTTCCCATGAACAAGAAATCCTTATTTGGATTTGTAGTTTGGATCGTAAGNAGAAATCAAATTCCTAGAAACTGAAGGTACATAAAGAGTCTGTAATAGATCAAGGTGACGTCCAGTCTCCATGATCAAACGATAAGTCCCTATGCCTTCAATTGGAGCCTTCATACTGTTGATACCCAAATTTGTCCTACCTTTCTTCTAATTAATTTTCTGACGCTCCCTAGTCATTAATAATCTAATGCTCTATCTTTAGTTATTTATTACTATTATGACTACTATCTATTATAATTATAATTATTGAAGATATTACTATTATTAAAAATTATTATTTTGTTATTAGTACTATTAGCAGTATTATTAAAATTACCACTAATATCACTATTATTAAATTAATTACTTATTTAAAATGTAATATTATGCATGTGAGCACGTGATTTTTGTCCTATATGGGAACTACTCCCAAAAAATTCAAATAAAATAATTTTCCTTTGTGTGCAATTTTTGAATTTTTCGTGGCACTTTTGGATAATTATTTGTATTTTTGTCTGTGCATGTTTATTTGTTTAAATTAATAAAAATATAAAAATATGTCACGTTTGCATTTAATATTTAATTAATTTTGTTTTACAAAATAAAAAATCATAAAAAATAACGTACGTTGCATTTTTAGCATTTAACGTCCAAATTGTGTGATTTTATCGTTAATTGCTATTTAAATGTGCGACAATTGTTGTTAGGAGTTAATTAGTTTTTTTTTAGATAATTTTGAGTTTTATAATTTAACCTTAGCATTTTTAGCTTTATTAATTAGGAAATTGAATAAATAGAAAAGAACAAAAATAGAAGAAGACCGGATTGGGCCTTTTCTTCAATTTTAAACCACAGGCCCAAAGATACCCAACCTTCCCCTACAACCTGGTCCATTTCGACCCGGGTCGACCCAGTCCATAACCCCTAAGACCCAACACCCCTATCTCCCTATCTTTCATTTCACAAAACAAAACCCTAAACCTAAAAAA